CAAAAGGGCCTCCAACACCCACCAGCCGACAAATATTAACATTTATTATATTTTATGGTTAACTTTTTTCTCTCCAGGGGTGATAATTGATGCAAGCGTGATCCTGCAGAAGTTGGCGTTCATCGCACATGTTGTGTTAGGGTGGCGTGCAGCCAAGGGGTGACAGCCACTGCTGCTTTGCTTATGTAACGCTTTGCTTTGCTCTGTTTGACTTTACTTAACTTATTTTTGTTTTGTGTACTTTTATGTAGAGCAGCTTACTCGGCATTACATTTCCTGTTCATTGTATAGTACTCAAGTTTTATGGTGTATGAGCCGTATAAGAAATGGAGGGGAAAACGCGTGCAACCAATCACAGTTTTGGAAAACGCGTGCAACCAATCACAGTTTTGGAAAACGCGTGCAACCAATCACAGTTTTGGAAAACGCGTGCAACCAATCACAGTTTTGGAAAACACGTGCAACCAATCACAGTTTTGGCCTCTGGTTGGTTGCACGTCAGGCTACGATATCGGCCCCTGCGCAGGGGACTCTACATGTTACTGAACCATAAACAGAGTTTTAGTAAACATCAGTAACAAATAGACACATTTAGGCCTATAAACCTAAAAACAAACATTAAAATTTGTGGTATAATAAGTGAAAGTTGTCAGGTGACTCAACAGAGCAAGTGCTTTCATGAAATAGCCTGGATTTTTCCTCTCAGGTAACATACAGGTAAATAAAAATATTTATCACTTTTAATTTAGCTACAATTAAATTTCCTAAAGACGCTGGAACTATAGTAACAGTAAGTCAGAGCTGTTTATGGTAAAGATGGAACTAAAACCTTTAAAGGCTTATTGAGTATTTTTATGAATAAGATTACACTGTTTGTTAGTCTGTTGGGATTTTTGTATATTAACATTATGGAAAGCATGGTAACCAGTTAAGTGTTGCTCAATGATGCTATTTTATGATGGATATATAATAATAAAATAAAAAGTATATATAATACAAGTTTTTTCTTTGTTTATAAAAAAAGCATTTTTAAAGACTGTCCAGTCTGAGTTCATTGCACATGTTCGTGAGGACGAACGGCAAAAGGGCCTACAACACACACCAGCCGACAAATATTAACATTTATTATATTTTATGGTTAACTTTTTTCTCTCCAGGGGTGATAATTGATGCAAGCGTGATCCTGCAGAAGTTGGCGTTCATCGCACATGTTGTGTTAGGGTGGCGTGCAGCCAAGGGGTGACAGCCACTGCTGCTTTGCTTATGTAACGCTTTGCTTTGCTCTGTTTGACTTTACTTAACTTATTTTTGTTTTGTGTACTTTTATGTAGAGCAGCTTACTCGGCATTACATTTCCTGTTCATTGTATAGTACTCAAGTTTTATGGTGTATGAGCCGTATAAGAAATGGAGGGGAAAACGCGTGCAACCAATCACAGTTTTGGAAAACGCGTGCAACCAATCACAGTTTTGGAAAACACGTGCAACCAATCACAGTTTTGGAAAACGCGTGCAACCAATCACAGTTTTGGAAAACGCGTGCAACCAATCACAGTCTGTATTATTCTGCATGGAACCTTAGGAAGCAGTTGCTGGTGGACGTGAAACAGAGGTGGACGTCACATTTTTGGCACTTGGCTTTAGGTGTACCTTTGCATCCAGGTACCTTGCATCTCCCTTTCTTTTCATCCATGACCATCCAGTGGGCTGTGGTGTCCAGACGCACATCAGGGACCAGTATGGGTGTAGTGGGTCCTCTTCTCCTCTTTTCTTCATACTCCCCAGCAACTGTGGAACTGGGACGACCTCTCTTATGCTCCAGATTCTTGTCACTTTGGCATAAGCTTTCTGCAATATACAACTTGAATGTATGAAGCTTCATCTGTTCCTCTTTTCTCATCCAAGTGCTGCTGCAGTCTCGTAGAGCAGCCAGGCAGTCATGATGATCATGTCGATGAAGTGGAACATCAGCCGGTGGTCATCAGACAGGCCATCTGTTTTCAAAAGAAACCAGAAAGCATAAGATTAGAATAGGTCATATACCTCTCATCACCCACTGATGCACATGCACACACATGTTCATTACATACAGTATGTTACTCTACTGACTGAACCCTGATCTCCTAACTCTCCCTCAAACCTGATTCTGGGGTCCACTCCTCCTCACTGTCACTGTCCTCACTGTCGGTAGCAATGAGCCTAACTGCTCGATCATGTTCCTTACACCCATAAAATGTTCATGCATCAATTTCCTGTGAGTAATGTAGATAGTACAGCAAAAAATTAACTATGGTGATAACTATGCATCCCTGCACATCTCCATCCATTAGCATGTTATTGTTCACTCTCTGCATATACATATATTCAATTTACAGTGATAACTATGCATCCCTGCACATCATATATATATATATATATATACACACACACACACACAAATGTCCAGATATACACACACACACACCTTTTGGTCTGTGTGTGTTTGAGTACAGAAGAAAATAGACACACACACTTTAGCTATCAAGCTTCTCTCCTATGGAACCAACTCCCAGTCTCGGTTCGGGAGGCGGACAACTTCTCTACCTTTAAGATTAGACTTAAGACGTTCCTTTTTGATAAAGCTTATAGTTAGGGCTGGATCAGGTGACCCTGAGCCTTCCCTTAGCTATGCTGCTATAGGCCTAGGCTGCTGGGGGGCCCCATGATGCTGAGTTTCTCTCTCCTCCCCTCCTGCTCCCCTCTCCTCTCCTCTCTCTCCCTATGCTTCTATATGCCACCATTACACATTACTAACTTTGTGTCTCCTCTCTCCCGTAGTGTGTCCTCTCTCTCTCCCTGTACCTTTCTGCAGGTTGCCCTGGCCCTGGAGCTCTACGTCTCTGACGAGCAGTCACCAGCCACATCGACCTGATCAGTGTTTGATTGTTGTCTTGTTGCTTTTCTTCTTCTCTCTCTCCTCTATCCACTCACCCCAACTGGTCGAGGCAGAAGGCCGCCCACCAAGAGCCGGGGTCTGTCGGAGGTTTCTTCAGTTAAAGGGAGTTTTTCCTCCCCACTGTCACCAAGTGCTGCTCAAGGGGGATTTGTTGGTTTCTGCTCAGTGACTGTGTTTACATGCACTTAAGTAACCAGGTTACAATCAGCTTTCTCCAGTAAGCTGATTTCTTAACTGTCATGTAAACAGGAAACCTGGTTTCTGTAATAAGGGTAGGGGATTAGAGAAACCTGATTTCCCCAGGTAGATTTCTCCTGGAGAAAGTCAGTTTCTCTGCCATGTATATGCATAACCAGGTTTATAATCAGCTTTCTACAAGAGAACATGTGCAAAAGACAAGCTCCAAGGTTTCTTGTGTGCACATGACTTGAGAAAAACAGGACGTTGTCACCAGCATAAACAGACGATTATCAACATGGTGAGCAGCAGCAGCAGTGCAGACAGCACAGCATTACTGGAGTGATGAAGAGGTCAAACAAGGCTAAAGAGACCAAAATACAAGCTTGATCGACCAGATTCATCTTTGTTCATGGGAGGATTCGGTCACATCATGACGTCAGGCTTTCTAACTGCAGGTGCACCTGAACATCGTCTTTCTGCTTTCAGTGGGCTAGTTTAGGGAACTTTTCACTAACCTGTTTACTTAAGTGCATGTAAATGCAGTCAGTGTAAAGTACTTTGACATGATTTTTGTTGGCGCTATACAAATAAAACTGAATTGAAATAAATACACGGCAGTTTCCTTGGCACTATGGGTTAAACAACAAACAATACAACAAAGCCATTAAAAAACAAGTGAAACAAACAAAAACAATAAAGTGTCAGTAGTATTGTGTAAAGTGTCATGAATGACCACAGCCATGACAGCGGTCAAGGTGTTTCCTTATAAACTGCAACAGATAATACAAATAAATGCTGCAAGCAAGCAATAAGACCTGCTACAAAAAATGACAACTAAAATGGTAATGTAAAATAAATTGAATATTTACAAAAAGGAATTAGAATAAAAATAAAATAAGTAAAAGAAAAGCAGAAAATGGGTAAACTTTAGAAATCAGAAAAATAACATAAAAAGCATTTAAATCAATTTAAAATGTAGAAAAATTACAAACCAGTTATTAGATATTTTGAGACCATGAATGAAGGTCGAGTTTCAGAGAGAATGAACAGAGAGAGGGAGAGAGGTGTCATAGAGAAACAACAGGTGTGTGTAGTGGTTGGGGGGGGTGTCAAGTGTGAGGTGAGAGCGGTCGAGTTCCATGGAGACTGAACAGAGAGAGGGCGTGTCGGCAGGTAAAACAGGTTTGGGTGAGGCGGTTGAGTGAGCGTCAGACAGCGGAAAAGAGAAAGAGATTTTTATTCACGCTGTTTCCTTAAGTTTGTCACTTTTTAACACCGGAAGAAGAAAAGGAAGGAAAATAGCAGAAGAAATATTTGTGTTCTGAAAGAAAGAACAGATTGAACAAGAAGAAACAGCTGTGGAACTCCGAACAGGTGAGTCAACAAGCATTTCACCTGAACGTACTCTGTACTGGTGTAGTGAGAACAAGTACTGCAATACTGTAGTGAAGATAGGATCAGAAAAATGAGAAGTTAAGGAACTTTATGGTCCAAGTATACTCTAGTAAAACATAAATACTACTAGTTAAACCCCTGCAGTCAGTCTCACTTCACCAGGATTGGGCATGCAGTATCAAAAGTACGTGTCATGTTACAAGCAGTGATGGAGGCTACTCAGGAAAAGTACAAATACAACAGTGTACAAAAGTTCAAAATGTTACTTAAACCGAAGTATAAATATACACTTAAAATACAAAAAGAACAGTAGTAGCCTATTAGTACTCAAAGCCTTTACTTAAGTAAAAGAACTAACACCACACTGAAACTCATTACAAAATTCTGCAATTAGAATATTACGGAAGTAAAAGTACACAAGTATATCAGGAAAATAGTGTTCAATAATAAAGAATGAAAGTACTCAATGTATGATTTGTTGGGTTTTCCCTATGTAATAATAACCTTACTTTGTAAAGTGTCCTGAGATGACTTGTTGTGATTTGGCGCTATACAAATAAATAAAATTTGATTTGATTTGATTTGATAAACATGACTTCTGTGAGTGTATGTAGTTTATACACAGTATTATGTCATTAAATTACTGGTACCTCAATGTGTAACCAGTACCGTTGCAGTGGAGCTGATTCTAAATACTGTTTATTTGATTTAAGCAGGAAATAAATTGCCCCATTGAGACACCAGAGGCATAGCTAGGGGGGGGGGGGGTTATTTAATAGTAAGAATTTTTAAACTGGAAACCAGTGATTTGCACTTTTCTTTTGGTCTGAGTATGTGTAATATTCTCCTGTAAGTCACATTAAAACCTGGAACAGTTCACAAAACTTGTGGTTTTGACTGTGTCGTGGTTTTTAGATTGGTTAATGTTCTGGATCAGCAACATAAATTAATTTTAAAAATAAATTAAAACCTGGGGCAGCATGGTGGCACAGTGGTTAGTGCCGTTGCCTCACAGTGAGAAGGTTCTGGGTTCGGGCCCCACCTGGGACCTTTCTGTGTGGAGTTTGCATGTTCTCCCCGTGCTTGCGTGGGTTCT